AGAGAAGTGGAGGAAAAGATTCCAGGAGAGGGCCTCAAATGCTGTCCTGTTTTTGTGCTTCTCCTTTAAAGGATGGTAGGTCTAGAAGAACAAAGAGTCTGAGTCGGCTGGTCTGGAGGTCCAGGGGCTCAACAGAAAGTGTATCCCTCCCGTTATCTTTAACAAGTCTTGAGTTAAAAGGGCCCCTTAAGGTGTTGTTAAGGAGAGGATCTAACGTGGCTGGATCTAGCCAGCATTTGTACTTGAGATGCCGAGGCCCAGAGAAGACAGGCAGACCAGGAGAGCAGCTACTCCTACCCATGACAACCCTGAGTTGGCAGAGTGGCACCTGTGACTCCCCCATGGACGGAGTTGTTCTCTGACAGGGCATTGATTCCTCTACAGGTGGGTGTGTTATCAGCCCTTAGAGAGCCAGGCACAACCTGCAGGAAAAGATAAGCTGGGCAGAGACTGGGATAGCATCTGCTGGCTGGACTAGCAGGTGAATTGGGCTGCAGATCTGGGCTGGATATCAATAGAAAGAGAAAGAGACTTTTGGAGACCCTAGGATTACAGTGGCTGCCTAAACCCAAATCTTCCACCACATCCTCCAGAAATCATACAGACCAACAAGGAGAGAAGGAAAAAACAAAACTAAACTAATCACAAGTGTGCCTATACATCCTGGTTTGCTTAGGATCATCCCAGGGTATATCCATGGAGGATGAGTTAATGCCTGCTAATGCTGAAAAGTCTTTTGACCAAATCCAACACACATCTCAGATTTTAAAAACTCAATAAGGGCCAGCCTGGTGGCATAGGGGTTAAGTTCACATGTTTTGCTTTGACAGCCCAGGATTCATGGGTTCAGATCCCAGGAGTAGACCTGCACACTGCTCATCAAGCCATGTTATGGTGGCGTCCCGCATACAAAATAGAAGAAGATTGGCACAGATGTTAGCTCAGCAATAATCTTCCTCACTAAAAGGAAAAAAAAACTCAATAAGATAAGAATGAATGGATACTTCCTTAACATGATAAAATATGTGCACTTTAGCCCTAAAGCTAGCATCTTACTTAATGAAAACCACTACTGATTTTCCCACCAAGATCAGGCACAAGACTAGTGTACTCACTGCTTCCACTATTATTTAAGGTTGGTGGTTTTAGTCAATGCGATCAGAGAGGAGAAAACAGTTAGAGGCTTAAGAATTGGGAAAGAAGATCTACAATTTGGCAGATGACATAATATGATGAAATATCGAGGAGATCAAAAAGAAAACAAACACAAACAATAAAAGCATTCAGTAAGGCAGCCACTATAATGTTAACTTCCCCCCGCAAAATCTACAAGCAATCAAGTAGGGGACGTAATAGGAAATTCCACTTACAAAAGCAACAAACCCATAAACTATTTAGGAATGAATTTAACTTTAAATGTGAAAAACCCGTAAGAGTAAAATCTGAAAACTCTCCTGAGACACACAAAAACAGACTTGTAAAAGAAAAAGTTCTCATGTCCATGAAGGACTGCTTGACATCATAAAGAAGTCAATCATCTTCAATTTAATACATGAACGTAATTCAACCCCAATAAAAATGCGAAGATGTTTGTTCCCACAGATACTTTCTGAAGTTGATTCTGAAGTTCAGACGGAAAAACACATATGAAAGAACAGCTAGAAGAGAATAGCAAGAATGTGCGCCTGAAAAGGAAGCACGATGGGGGGTGCAGAGGGGCCAGCACTGCCAGATGGGAGAGCGCACCAGGAGGCTTCCACAAGAAAGAGTATTGTACTAGCACAGGACTAATCACAGATACTGCTGGAGAATAACAGAAAATCTAGAAATAGTCTGAGTACATATGGAAATTTAGAACATAATAAAGATGGCAAATAAAACACTGGGGAAAATAGGATGGTTTTTAAAAATAATATTGAAATAACTGGAATGCCATTTGGGAAAAAGATAAAATTGGATCTATATCTCATACCATACACCACAATAAAAGCCGAATGGATCAGAGATCCAAATAAAAAATAAACCCATATGAGAACTAAAAAAAAATTTATATTTATGTGCATATATGTACATATATAAACATTTCTTTAATTTTATAAAAAAAATTGTATATATGTAAAAAAATTTTTGATTAAATATATTTTTGTAAAAGGAACTGGCCCTGTGGCCTACTGGTTAAGTTTTCATGCTCTGCTTCGGCAGCCCAGGTTTGCAGGTTCGGATCCCAGGTGCGGACCTACACCACTCATCAGCCATGCTGTGGCGGCATCCCACATACAAAATAGAGGAAGACGGGCACAGATGTTAGCTCAGGAGACTCTTCCTCAAGCAAAAAGAGGAAGATTGCAAAAGATGTTAGCTTCTTAGGGAGAATCTTCCTCAGGAGAAAAAAAAAAGAGGAACACAGGAAGGATAAAGCAGGAGATGTGGAAAACGGTTACTTCAAAGCAGTGTGGGGGGTAGCAGGGTGGAGTAGACAGGTGGGGGGCAAGTCTTCTCTGAGTTTACCTGCTTACATATCTTTAGCTTTGAACCATGTACGTGTTTTATATACTCAAAAAATAAAATTAAACTAAAAGGATTAAGAAAGGAAACATTAAAACAGCATACACACTGAAACAAATGTTCCTAACTCTATATAAAATTGATAGCATAACCACACAGAGAAAATAGTTTAATCTGAACATAACACTCTGTACACATTGAGGGCTAAATTCTAAGAACAAAAAGAACAGCAAAGAAATCTTCAAGTCACTAAGCATGTTTGCAGTTGCATACTGTTGTAATTCTGGAAGTATTTTGCATGTATTTTAGAATAGAGCAAATGGGTAAAAATATCCAGATGGTTGAGAAACAGGGTTTTCACTTTGGAGGAAGCAAAATAGAAATACGGAATGAAGAAAGCTTAAGAAGAACCTTATGGTATTGTGTTTTTGATTTAAATATACATTTGCCGACTATCCATTGAGAGGGCCTGGAAGCAACGATGCCTCAATAGTCATGAGCACACAGTGTGCCCAGATCTTGGTTTCTAAAAACTATTCCAAAGAAGGAGAAGGAGAAGGAAAAAACAAGCAAGGATCCTAGGGAAAATGGGTGATTCCAGGTCTGAGCAGGGACAGCTGGGATATTGTGTTGTGTCAGAAGTCTAGGAAATGCTCAATGACTAATGGAGTTCAGTCAAACACCACAAAGAAGTGACTTGTACTGGATAAACTTGGGACAATCAGAACATCAAAAAGATTCATGATGGTAATGAATTATAATGCATTGACGTCCATAGGAATAATGTTCAACAAGTAAGAGAAAGAGAAAAGGTGGGGAAAGGAAAAGTCTTTTTTCTATAAGAATGCTAGCTATTAAATGTAGAGGGAATGCTGAAATTAGAAACTCAGTATTTTGTAACCCCCAAAGCAATCACTGATTCAAACACGGATCGTGAACAGACGTTAAATCATTGGGCGAAGAATTGTTGGGAGTGAGGATGCTCACGTGGTCTCAAAGTGCCACCCATCAGATGATTTACTAATTGCAAAGGGAAAATTTTATCTCTACAACACAGAGACCCAGCGGTCACTCTCTTAACCAAGTGATCAAACGCAGCATCACCAACAGTGAGAGAGCCTGGCACCACGTGCCTCCTGATGATACAATAAAAGATAACGCAATGTCACCTCTGTGGTGTTCTTGACGAAATTCTCAATCTGAATCTACTCAGGAGGAAACAATCAGACAAACCCAGAAAATGACACATCATACAAGATAACTGGCTTAGGTACTTCAAGACTGACAACGCCATGAGTGGAAAAGGCAGAGGGGTTGTCCAACACTGAAAGAGACTGGAAAGATACAAAATCAAACACAATGGATCCTGGCTTGGAAAAATAGAACTATAAAAGATGCTTTTGAAACAATAGGAGAAATTTGAATATGGTTGTGTAATATTATTGAATTATCACTAATTTTCTTAGGTGTGGCCATTGTAATGTGATTACGTGGGAGACGTGGTCATGTATTTAGAGATGAAATATGATATCTCTACTAATTTTTAAGTGGATCAGAAAAAATATGTGTATACAGAGATAAAGCAAATGGGGCACAATGTTAATTTGTGAACCTAGGTGAAGGATGTATATGTTTTTATTGCACTGTTCTTTCAAGTTTTCTGTGTATTTGAAGATTTTTTAAAAAGAAGGAAGGTGAGAGCCCATGGGCAGTGCATGAGGTGCGGGAAAGCAGGCCTGAGGAACGTGAGCTGTGAACAACGACTCGGATAAACCCGAGGGAGGGGCCTCCTTTCCCAGGAGCAGGGCTCCTTCAGCCAGTGGCCCAGGACCTTGCCCCCTCCTGCAGGCCCTGCCCTCACACTCAGGCCTTGTCCACTCTGAGACCCCAAAGCAGCATTGAGAAGCAGACGCTTCCGCCAAACCGATAGCTTGATGACACAAAGAAAAGGGTTTTTTTCATCAAATGAACTAAACTGGCTAACGGTTTGTCAAAGAGATAGTCTTGGTAAATGAAAAAATAAATTAACTATCTTGCTGTTAAAACCCACTTTTCTCTCGGGGCCGGCCCGGTGGCGCAAGCAGTTAAGTGCACACACTCCGCTGCAGCTGCCTGGGGTTCACCAGTTGAAATCCCGGGCGCACACCGACGCACCGCTTGTCAGGCCATGCTGTGGCAGCATCCCATATAAAGTGGAGGAAGATGGGCGTGGATGTTAGCCCAGGGCCAGTCTTCTTCAGCAAAAAGAGGAGGATTGGCAGATGTTAGCTCAGAGCGGATCTTCCTCACCAAAAAAAAAAAAAAAAACCCCACTTTTCTCAGCTCTAATGAGGCAAATGCCTCACAGCTTCATTTCAAAGCTTTCCAAAGTACTACCATATGAGGACTTTCTGCAAATATCCCAAGGAGATGTGGATTCCCGGCCTCACAGCCATCCTGGCACAAAGACTTCTGGCCCACAGCTGGCAGTCACCCTCCGGTGCTGCGTGGGGGCATGCAGAGGAGCTGCCAGCCCCTGCAGGAGACTGCCTGCCTTTCCTTCTTTCAGTAGGAGTGAGGACTCTTACAACTCACCTTTCGGAGAAACTGAGATTTAACCTGCAAAACAGAAGAATAGGATGTTGGCTGAATCATTCCTAGATGGCAAAAAGCACATGCAAACTTTTGCTCCAGGAGAACGGCTTGCTCTTCTTAGCTTTTTCTTTCGGGTCTTCTTCCTGACTCAGCCTGACTCCATCTAGTGTTAGTTTCGGAAACTTGAATTGTAACTCTTCGAAAATCTCTCTATTTGTAGAGGAGCTCTGGTATGATGCGTGCCAAGAACGGTTGCTTGCACACAGTGGGAGAATACACCCCTGGGGTGGAGGGGAGGCTCCCATCCAGCCATTAACTTCTAGCCACCCATCTCTCCCCTGCCCTTCATTTCTTCCCTCCCTTCCTCCACCCACCTGTCTTCCTCCTGCACCCTTCACGTTCCTTTTCCTGTCCTTCACTTTCACAGCATTGATTGTTGAATGACTATTGCAGCCACCTCGCCTGGATTATGGAAATTGCCTTCTATATCCCTGATGTATCAAAATAATCCAAAACTTCTAAATACAGACAAAAACGAGCAGCTCCTCTGGAATGATCGTACACTGTGACTATTTGTTCAGCAATGCTTTTAAATAGGTTTGTGTTGTATCGTTCACAGCAGCATCTTTACACATACACATACATGTATCACTCATTCATTATGAATACAGCCTCCCGCATCCCCTCATCTCCCAGCAGGCACGCATGCATGCACACACGCGCGCACACACACACACAGCAGGAGTAAGAATTGGGCGGTGTGAAAAATTTCGTTCTTTGTAAATTCCATAACTAAGATGTCTCTGAAATAGGGTCTGCAACGAGCTCTGGAGAATTCCAAGCAAAGTGTCTTAACTCAGAGTGCCCCTCCATGCGTCCAGGCGGTTTGGATAGCCAGGGTACTATCCCTCACTTCTAGGTGGTGAGAAGATCACTGTGCTAGAATCTCCACCCGACCACGCAGTCATCCTGACACAGGCCAGAGCTGGCCACAGTAGCTGCAGCCACATGCCTGGGGTGCCTCAGCCGCCCAGCAGAGGGCCCCTGAGGCCATGCAGTGGGCAGAGTCTTCGCTATTGCAGACACAGCCCATCCATCCAAAACTGACTCCCGTCCTGCGCTCCCCACCACAGAGGCCAGCTGGACCCCCAAAGGCAATGTGGGTTCTGGGCCTGGGGGTCATCTATTCATTTCCAGGTCCCCTCACCCCCATCATCAAAGGCTAGCCCTTCTCATGGTTCCAGACTCAACCCACGGCCTCCCATGCCCCAGTCTGCCGAGAGCCTTGTTAGAACCCCTGATGAAGGTCGGTCTGCCCTGATCCTGTAGTGGGAGAGCCTGAGTCAGCACCCAGCCCAGAGCCATCAGAGCGCTGCCTCTGGTGAGCTGGAACAGGGACACCCTTCCGGCCAGGAGTCACTACTGCACACTCTGGCATCATGCCAATCCCCCAGGGTTGAAGAAGAAAGAGCTGCCCCAGGGAGAAGGTTCCTGAGGGTGGGGAAAAGGAGGGGCATTAGGAGCCCCTGACTTGGAATTCTTCTTTCCCGCGTGAGTGGTCTCATGGACTTGGTGGCACTTGAGAGCTGTTCAGCATGTTTCTTCTACGAAGAGGAATGTGACAGCTTTAGCTAGTGTGGGTCTGGGTGTGTGTGAATGTGTGTGTGTGTGAGATGAGACATGTGACATCTGTGGTCCCCCAGCCTGAAAAGCCTCTAATTCCACCTCACATTTCCAAAAGCCCCCTGGACTGGTTGCCTGACCCCCATCCATGAGAACCCTGGGTGCAGAGGAGGTGACATTGCCAGTGAGAGGAGAGCTGTGTGGCTGCCCCGGGCCTGGAGACCACTGCCTCACGGGCCCACTAACTCTAGGATGGCCCCATGCTCCAGTTTTCCTAGGACAGTCCGGGTTTATGCCTGTCCTCCTGACACAATTCTTAGTAGTGCCTCTTCTCCGCTCTCCGAAAGTCCTGATCTGGATGAAAAGGTAAAAAGTCCCCATAATCACACCGGTCTCCCCCAGCCCAGGTTCCTGTGGGATGGCCAAAAAGGAGGTGGTGGGGTGGACGGGGGACAGGACAGAGCAACAGCGAGAGTCAGACACGGAGAGAGGCAGTGCCTGGAGACAGAGTTGGTGAGACTTGCTTTAGGGCCTAAATCAATCAGAAATCATTGCCGGAAACCAGAACGTCTGAAGGAGGCAGATCCTCAAGAAAGTGAACTTCTTGAGAAAATCCATCCCCAGCTCATCCCCAGGGCATGCCCCTGAGGACAGGGTGCCACGCATCTGTCTCTCCTTCATTCGTGAATCTACTCCTTCCTTCCATAGACATCACTTAGCACTTACTGGGTCCCAGGTCCCAGGGAAGAACTGTGGGGGGAGACCACGCTTCGGGCCCCTTCTAAAAGCCCACCATCCGTCTCAGCCCAGACCTCAGTCCTGAACGCCAGCCACTTACTGAACATCTTCTCTGTTTGGAAGTCTCCAGAAGCCTCAGACTCACCATGTCCAAAAAGTAGGCACCGTGTCACCCCCACAGCCCATGGCCCAAGCTGCTCCACCACCTGCTTCCCAAAGGGCACCACCCAGCCAGGCTCCCCCAACCCCACCAGCAAACACTACGCCGTTCTGGATTCCTCCCTCTTCTCCTGGGGCTGCACCTCCCTGCAGCCCCCGGATCCTGGGCCGGCTGCCTTCTTAGTGGCACTCAGATCCCTGCTCCAGCAGGCCTTCCCAGCAGGTCTGAGCCCTGTGAGCATCCCCAGCAGGTCTCCTGTCTCCAGCTGGGCCCCCGCCTCCATGCTACTATAACATAAAAGATGTTCCATCCTTCTGCTTAGAATCCTTCACTGGTAGACCAGAAGTCTCAGGCGAGGGTTCAGACTCTCTCACTCAGCACACACGCCACTAGATCCTCCGTGAGTAGAAACTCCCTCCCTCTCCAGCCTCTTCTCCACACCTCACGTGGAGCACTTGCTCTGGCCACACTGGACATCGCTCCCTGAACATTTTCCACGGTTCCCCACGTGCACGCCTACACATGTGAGGGTGCCCTCTGCCCGTGTGCCCTTCTCTCTCTTCCCCCAGTGACCTCCTCCTGGTCCTTCCATGGACACACCCAGGCTCCCCTGCACTCCTAGACACCCTGCCTCCCAGCTGGATCTGCACCCCTCTGTACCCCCAGGGCACAAGGTGGCACAGGCTTAGCCCTGTCACAGCACCCCCCGACCCCAATGCCATGCACGAGCACCTGTGATGTGCCTTTCTCCCTGTGGACTATGAGGGAGCTTGTCCTACTTCTCTGTTCTTAATCCTCAGCACCTAGCCATGCCTAATGCCCATTTGTTCATTCATTCATTCAACACGTATATGAGTATCCACTCTGTTCCAGGCTCTGTGTTAAGTGCTGGGGCTACAGAGATGAAAAGGAAGATCCCTTCCTCAAGGACCCTACATTTTAGGGGGGAAACCATCAAGAGAAATTGACAAATCAATCTAGTATATAAGGTCAGTGAGTGGAAAGTACTATGAAAAAAAAATAAGGCCAGGTAAGGGGAAGAGAATGATTGGGGGAGGGGGGTTTCTATTTAAACAGGCCATCTAAAATGAAATGGTGGCATTGAAGCAGAAATGTGAAGGACAGAGGGCAAAACTTGCAGCTACCTTGGCAAAGAGCATTCCATATAAGAGAAAACAGCAAGTGCAAAGGCCCTGAGGTAGGATGGTCCTTGGAGGGCATGAGCTCTATGCAGAAGAGCAGTGTGGCTGGGTGCCAGCAGGGAAACCAGGTACCTGGAGCAGGCCATGTGTGGCCTCCCAAGTGGGTCATGGCAGCGACTGGGGACTTTATTCTGAGTGTGTAGGGATTCAATGGGGGGATACTGAACAGGGAGTGGGGCAGAATCTAACCCAGAGTGTGCAGAGGCAAGCCCAAGCCCTTGCGGGCCAACCCCCTACTCTTATGACTCTTGCCCACTGGCCCAAAGAAGGGAAGAAGGGGCTGTGGGATGCATTCTAGTCCCCTAGGAAGCATTTTGGAAGGGAGGAAAGGGCTAGGATGACAGGCAAGGGAGCAGGATGGATAATATAGGAGGGAGGATGATACCTGTCACATGTTGGCGGTGACCTTACCTTGGGGCTCTCTTCTTTAGCGCGGTGGTGTCTAAACAGAGAAAGCACGGTGTTAGGAAGGAGGCACTGTGATCAGTGCCAGGCAAGCAGGAGAGGGTCAGAGCTGGTGTCTTGGGCAGAGCTGAGGGGCTCCCTGGGTTGGGGCCACTGGGGGGTGGTCTTGGGCTGAGTGCTCCGCCCCCTCCCCTTCGGCACTGTGGGAGCTTCTCTATCCAGGTCCCACCACTGAGCCCCCTAGTTCAGCAAGCAGGCGAGACTGAGCCTTTCCTAGACACCCCCCATCTCTCCTCTCCACCCCTTCCACTTGCAGATGCTGGGCCCTCTGGTCCTCAGGAGACGCGGCCCGTCTCCTGCTGTGTGATGAAGAGGCTGTTTTCTCTCCCCCCTTGTTCATAGAGATACAAAATCAATGGTAAGTGAACTCCTATGACCAGTTAAGCCCCTGACGCAGTTGGCCACGCTGGCATCCCGGGAAGCCCCCGAGTGTTGCGGCTCCTCCTCTCCTTGGCCCAGACGCCCCTTCTGCATATCTTCACAGAGAATAATTGCATTTTCCAGAGATACAGGGAGGCTCCTTCCTCCTCATGCTCAGGAAAACCTCATGGAAAACAGCATCAACCCATTAAGCAGTCGATACGAGCGGGATTGAATTTTGTGAGTCCCACCTTGAGAGAAAGGGGGTGTGAGTCGATGGTGCGTTTTGCTGTCAAAACTCACAAGCTGACTGCTCAGCGTCTGTGTGGATGCGCTTCCCTGCAGGGGCCGCAGGACACGGAGAACCACCCGGGGTAAAAGAGCCCAGCACTCCTTGGATCCTGGGGACACACCCAGCGCTGCTGCAAGTGGGACTTGCCCAATTTACAAAACAAATGCTGCTTGGCCCTCAGAACCAGTGCCAGCAGCACCTCCCACCACCCACCCAGCGGCACCCCCTGGGACTGATTTTTTTTTTTTTTTGGTGAGGAAGATTGGCCCTGAGCTAACATTTGTTGCCAATCTTCCTCTTTTTGCTTGAGGAAGATTGTTGCTGAGCTAATACCTGTGCCCATCTTCCCCTACCTTATATGTGGGACGCCACCGCAGCACGGCCTGATGAGTGGCGTGCAGGTCTGCACCCAGGGTCCAAACCTGAGAATCCCAGGCCACCGAAGCAGAGTGCACGAACCCAACCACTACGCCACCCGACCGGTCCCCTGGGATCGATTTTATCTGATCACATTATTTGGATAAGAGAATAGACACTTCTGTCTGACGCCAGCTCAGTTCCCTTCCCCACCTTTCTCCAGGAAATCTGACTCTTAGGAATATCAAGACGGAAAAGTACAGAGAGAGAGAGAAGGCGGGGAGTGAGAGAGACAGACAGACACACAGAGACACAGAGAGGTCCCTGAGTTTCCGCCCACAGATTTTTCCTTTCTCTAGCCAATGTTATGGAGCGGCCCTCGGTGCCTTGCACTGGGGGCCAGCCTGGACCACGGCCTTGTCTCGAGCAGGGGCAGAGCAGGACTGAGTGTCACCGTTCTCTTACCACTGGGGTCCGGGTTTACATTTCTTAGGTCTGTGGATTCGTTATCAAACATGTGCTTCTTGATCATGCAGATCTTCAGGGCCAGGAAACCCACAGATATGGCAATGCCCAGCGCCATCCCGATGATGGCATATTTGATTTCTGCAGTGCAGGGAGGAAATGAACAACAGGTGTCAATTCATCACCACCCTGCAAAGGTCTTCTACAGCTCTTTCCGTTTGGGATGAAGTCTAAGGTCTTGCGTGTAGACCTGAAAATCCCCACTCCGACTCACAGAAGCTGACCTAATTTTCCATTCTCCTGGGAGTGCATTTGCTCCCGCCCCTCCACCCACATTCCATCCCCTCTTCCTGGAACTCCTTCCCTGGTCCCTTCAGCTGTGCAGATCACTCCCTAGTGGCTGATGGCTCATTTCTGGCCTCCTGTAGCCCTTCCTCACTTCCTCCTTCATTAATTCGTTTATCGAGTCTGTGTTGATTGCCTGCCCTTTGGTGAGCATTGAAGGCAAATGAATAAGAGCTGACTCCATGCTGGGGAGCCCACAGTCAGCAGTGGAAGGGGAGAGCTCACTCCAAGGCCAGGTCACAGGGTGGGCTGGGCTTGTGTGGGAATCGGCAGCCTTCCCAGGGGAGGTGACAGCACACGGCACAGTGCCCGGCGAGGTGAGCCCCAGAGGTGGAGAGGAGCTGGACCGTGCAGTGGAGGGAGGGCGCCAGTGAGGGCACGGAGCATGGCAGAGCCGGCTGTCCGGGGCTCACGGCTGCAGCGCAGGACACTGTGTTTGCTGGAGCTGTTCATCTCACAGAGAGCGGACGAAGGCCTCCCTGAGGACCCAGATCCCCTTTGAGGACAGGCTCTCGTGTAGGGCCACAACCCTGGAGGAAGCTGTGCTGGCCGCTCAGGCAGGCCCGGAGGCGAGCGCGGCCCTTGTTCTTCGATGAGCGGCAGGAACCAATGCCAGCTCGCCCCCACCCACCCATGGCTCTAGAGCGTCCCCTTCCTGCCCCTCAGTCCTGCACACAGACTAAGCCGGGCAGTGACCTACCAGTTTCGGCCCCCGTAGACTTGCCCGTGGCCAGCACTCGTGCTCCTCCAACATCTGCGGAGAAAGAAAACCCAGAGCGGGGTTAGAACAGAACTGCTGGCCGCGATCTGGCCCAGGGTCGAGGGCCAAACCTGTCCTCAGCCACCACTCCACACGTCTGGGAAAGCCTGGCACAGGTTCCACGCCGGCTTGGCCGCCACCCTCAGGAGCACAGAGGTGGGCTCCTGGTTGCCACGGAGGGTCTTGGAGCCTTGCTGGGACGTCGTGCCCTCCTCAGAACCCAGACCAGGAGCGAGGTTCTGTCGAGCTCAGTTATGCCAGCTCTTTAACATGGTTTCCAAGACCCACACTCTGACCTCTGCCTGCTTGTCTAGCCTCCTCCGTCATTCCCACGAACCCGCTCATTTCAGCCAGACTGCCCAGCTTCCGGCTCCCCACACAGGCCGGGGATCTGCTGCCTCTGGGCCATTCCCTCTGCCGGCCCCATCTTCTCCCTCTCCTCCTGCCCCTCGTGGTGACTCCGTGTTACTCCCTCCCAACTCCCTGCACCTGGCTTGGCTGCCCGCCTGTGTGCTCCACAGTGGCTGGACTCACACATCATAACTGACCACTCCTATTTATTTAACATTACACGGTGCTGCTGTGTGCCCAGGCTCCGTCCTAAGAGCTTCTCAGCTATTAACCCATTGCTACATCTTCTTGCTGGTCTCCCCACCGGGCTGTACAGTGCACTGTGGAGTGTTCTACCCCCAGCATTTGACACAGTGCCTGGCATGTAGGAGGTATTAATAGATGTTTGCTGAGTGAATGAGTGAGCAAATGATGGTGACAGAGCATGCTGCAGGGGTGTCTCTCTCTTCTAGCCAGGGCTTGAAACCCTAAGACAGGAGACGTGGCTCACAAGCTGGGGCCATAGTCCCTGCAGCCAGGCCCTACAAGAGCCAAGGCAGAGCTGTGGGCCTTGGAGAGGAAGGCTTATATTAATTGGCCACTTACTTTGAGGCAGATATTGGGTACAGCGTCTGCATTAATACACTTAATACTCACAGCAACAGCTCCGTAAGATAGGCACTGTTAGCACTGCTGTTTGATGAATGAGGAACTGGAGGCATTGAGGACTCGACAACATGCCCAAGGGCCAAGAGGAGTGGAGAGTGTGGCAGGGCAGGGTCTGAGCCCTGCCATCTACACTGAGAGCCCCACGACGCCCTGCAAACTTGAACCCCAGGGAGCTAACTAGCAGAATGATGCCAAAACCACTAAGGCCACAGGCCGGAGGGGCGTGGGCAGGGGTGGGTGGACGGTCAGGCCCAAGTCTGATTCTCAAGTTCAAGCTTCAGGCAAAGGCAGAATCAGGAAGTGCCACAGCCCCTAAAAAGGACCAGGTGACTTCATTGGGAGGAACCGGATCTCCCCAGTTTATCTCCAAGAAAAGGCCACCTCCCGAGTCCTGACCTCCTGGAGGCTGAACAGTGGCTGAGGTACTCGCTCGTCAGAGCAGCAAAGACGTTCTGCACACGGCCACGTCTGCCAACCATGCTCAGCGCTGCCTGGGTGACGCGTCGGGTTGATGGTCTACAGAGGACATCTCCGCTCTGCATGCGTTTAGTGGGTAAGGGATCATCGTAGTAGAGGTTAGGATTTTCTAGAGGCTTTGTTTGGTAGGTGGGTAAAGCTGGGAGATTCTTAAGCAAAAGTACACAGCCTTGTTCTAATCACAGGTCCTCTTGGAAATTCAATGACTTCTCTCATGGATGTGCCCACGTGGGGCCCCTCTACTCACATACACACCACAGACACCACCACACACAATATGACCCTGGCTTTGTCAGTTTTCTGAAGCCCCCACTGGGTCCATTGTTTCTTTACATTCATCCTGCTGCTCCAGCTGGGTTGAAAACTGTTCCAAGGGACAGGACAAAGCCTTGTATTTTGCGCATGGTAGGGCTAGGCTGTCAGGTCCACTAAATGGAGTGGCCGTGGCTGGGAGCTGACTTACAGACTGAGGCCTGAAAGTGAGAGCTGCATGTGCTGCCTGCTCCCACTGGGTCCCTTCTGACGCCAGCCTGGCCTCTCCCTGCCTTCACTGGGCAGGAGGCAGGGGACGGGGCAGGGCATCAGTGAGTAGTCCAGGCTCACCAAGGGATGGCGTCTCCCCCTGCCCCTTCACACACTGACGTCTTTCCTGGCCCCCACCTCAGGGGCCCTCCCCTGGTGACCATCGCTCTCCACATGGAGCATGCAGCATAAAAACTTCATACAGCCCGGGGTGGAACTTGAACAGAGAAAGAAGAAAGGACACAGATCAGAAAGAGCGAGATGGAAAGAGAGACGGAGAGACACACCCACACAGGAATACAAGGAGCCGTGCACTCAGGGACACACACAGAGGCTATGCTGGAGAATCAGACTGCTGGCAGGATGGTCGAAGAGGAAAGAGGAGAAAGCACTTCTAGTGTCAAAAGGGCTTGGCCCTGCCTTCCCTACAGCACCAGGCCCCAGCCGTTACCCGGTTGCCCAGCATCCTTCATCAGAGGTGTCATCCTGAATTCTCGCCCCTTTCTGTCCCTCCCTGGAGGAGCTGAGCCCCAGCCCTGACTCCTCACCCCGGGACAGTGTTCGGCCCTCAGACACCACCCTCCGTGCTCCATCCTGTGTCTGCCCTAAGTCCTGAGGCTGCCTCTAGTCCCTGGCCTCAAACATGCTCTCTGGGCAGGGTGTCCTGCTTTGGGTCCCAGGTCAAGGACTGATGAATGCCCTCCGTGGGACCACTGCTCTTACAGCTATAGATGGACAAACCTGGGCGGTGGACCATCCTGTGCACTCCTGGAGGCCACATCCGGTCCCAATAATTCCTGCTAGCCAGCCCCACGGCCACTCGGCGGCAGCCTTTCCCCTCCTGAGGGAGGGGATTCCCTCCACGCAGCCCTCCCCCTGCTTTCCACTCTGCCCTGAGCTCTAACAAGCCTCTGGGCGAGGATCTGTCACAAGCACACTAGCTGGTCTGACCCCATCCGCACATCCTGCTCCAGTCATGAGCTGGGGGAGTCCCTCCTGGGCCGTAGACCCCCTGGCTCTGCAAAGTGGCTGGAGGATGGATGGCCCTAGCAGGGCTGATCTGTGTGCACAGAGTGCTCTTGCATGCAGGTCTGTGAGAGACCCAGGAGGAAGCCACACTGCGCTTGTTCTGCTGGAATTCTCTGGGTTCTCTTGTACACAGGAGAGGGGAGCTTAGCATCCAGAGGACAGGCTCTCAAACTCAGAGGAGAGTCCAATGGGGCTGAGCAGGGCTGGCTGTACCAAGGCTGGTCCATGGGGCAGTGGTCGGCACAGGGTTGGCCAAATATGACTTGACCGCTGTTACTCCTCAGACCGTCCACACTGAGACGGTGCGGAGGGCAGGAGCAGAGGGCCCGGAGCACAGCCCTTGCTGCTACCTAGAGCAGAGGGCACGGGGAGCTGCCTCCAGATGGGCCTGCAGAGGTTCCAGGGTCGCCTCCACCCGCATATCTCCATGCAGCATGTGCCCGGGTTGGGCCCTGGCCCCAGGAGCTCTCACCACGCCACACACCTGAGGCTACCCCTGCCCAGAGGACGGTGCCTTTTTCTAAGTGCACAAAAGCACCTATAGGCTCTGAGTCTAGGGTTTCTGCTTCCTCCCCATGCCCCATCTGGACCTGACACTTCACCCCTCCTGCCGAAATAACGTGCTCCAACCCCCCTCCCTGCAGCCCCTCCCACCTCAGTCCTGCAGAACACAGCCTGCTCTCTGCAAGTGGCTTCCCAACAGGAAGGAAGCCCTGCAAGAGTAAGTGGCTCTGAGGTCTCATGGCGCCCTGGGTCCCCCTCCCCCAGGCCATGAGAGGAAGCCGTCCGAGGAAGGCACCAGCACGGCTCTGTAAGACACGGAGCTGAAGGCGCAGTGGCCTTGCCCCATCTCAGTTGGAATCTGGCCAGCTGAGAGCCCATCCCTGACATTCAGACTTCCCGTGCTGTCCACAACACCTGTCAGGCCCACCCTCGATGGGGGCTGGCGGTCTTTGCCACCCTTATTTGGGCAGAATCAGGCTGTGTGGTTCCAGTTGTGGGGCAGTGGGCGTGCATGCATTCAGATGTCTTTCTATAAGTATCTGAACTAAAAATAGGGAGAGGCTGCCCTAAGTGTTTGTCAATTGATGCCTGGCCATTTTCATCTTGGAACTTAAATATTGCAGAATGCCTCCTAACTTTAGATCCCGTGAATTCCAACGTTCACAGCTAGAAGAGGGGGTTTCATATGTCTAGAACAGGCTTCCATCATCTCCTAACAGAGTCCACACATAGGAATGAGGTACCCGCAGTGCGCTCCAATGGCCCTGGTGCCCAGGGGGATCCAAGAGCAACCAAAGACCCCTGTCCCCATGAAGGAGCTCACAGAGTGATGGGGGAGACAAGATTTACACTGAAGAAAAGATCAGAGTGTCATGGGTGATGTCCAGCACCTTCCTACACACCTCAGTCTCCATGAGCTGGAGGAAGTCTGAATGGGGGGGGTGTGGGGTGGACACTTGCTGTGTGTCATGTCCACCTCCCCTGACCACTTGGCTGCTGGCAACCCCTTGCTTTTCCTTTGGGGAACCACCTCCATGGGATTCCCTCGGGCTGGCTCTAGGATGGACGTGTGAACCACATCTGTTTAATTAGCATATTCCTTCTTCCTGTCAGTAGTGATTGGTCGAGGGACAGGGCAGGTGATCCACTTGAGGCCAGTAAAACTCAACTCAGAGACTTCAGGGAAAATATTGAGAAATAGGAGTGTCGCCTGGGGCTGAGGGAGGCCTGCCAGGCGGAGGGAACCTTATAAGACTGAAGCCCCCACAGAAGAGGGTCAAAGTGATGCCAAGTCCTAAGATAGCTTTTGAGCCCCTGAATCCAGCTGTGCCTGAAGCACCTCTTCTTGACTTTTCAGTCACTTTGATAAGGAAAGACCTTCTTTATCTGAATCTTATCTCAGCTAAGTAACTGTCATCTGCAATCAGAAGAATCCTTATGACTCAGGCGGCAGGTCCTCCACAGAGCATCACTGGAAATCAGATTGGCGAG